TTTCATAACTCGGGAACGTCAGAAAGTTTTGATTTCTGGTTTTCATTAGTGGATTTGTCGAAATTTTGCAGTCAGAACCGATGTTGGTTTGGATTCCACGGACCATAATATAAGCCGGTGCCATTTTTCAAAAGTGTCGATTCATAAAACATAAAAAAAAAATCAGGGCGACCTGAAAACATCCGTAGAGCTTGGCTTGTTTTTCAGAAGACTCGAATTAGTAAAGAAACCAAAATTTCAAGGAGCTGTGAGCTTAGATCCGAATTTTCGAAACTTGGAACTTGATGCAAAAATGGTGGAGGTGCCGGGCAACAAATAGAAATTCTAAAAAAATTCAGGACCAACCCGAGATATTTTTTGAGTACACATTCCTTTTTAGGAGTCTCGATATGTGTATAGGGGAATTTTAACAAGAATCGTGGCCCTTTAAAGTGAGATAGCTCCATATTATTTAATAATTATTTTACAAAACGATGGAGTCGAAAAAAATGGGTCAAAAAATAAACATTTTCCAGCCTCACTGAAATCAGGTTGTAGACAAATTTGACACCGCTGAGTCCATTTCTGGCGACAGATATTGAAAATTTTCATTGTTTTAGACGAAATTCTTCGTAAATCAATATTCAAAAAAAAACTTCAAGTTTGATGTCTCATAATCTCGGATCGACAAGAAATTCAGATTTCTGGGTTTCACCATTTCTTGAAATTTTTCGTATTTTGGTTAATTTTAATGTCCTAGTCGATGTCAGTTTGGAATGCACGTGCCATATAAGCCGGTGCTGTTTTTCGAAAATGTAGGGTCATAAAATATAAAAGAATCAGGGCTACCTGAAAACATCTGTAGAGCTTAGATTTGATTCAGAAAGCTCGAATTAATAAAGAACCCAAATTTCAGGGAGCTGTGAGCTGAAATCCAAATTTTCGAAAAATGGTGGAGGAGCCGGGCGAAGAATCAAAAATTAAAAAAAAATCAGGAGCTTCTGCAGATGTTTTGATTCCTTTTCAGAAGGCTCGAAAGTGTACATACCTACATCAATTTTAATAAGAATTGGGGCCCGTTTAGGCGAAATAGCTTCATATTTTACCAATTCAAGTTATTTCACAATATTTCGAAAAAATGACTCAAAAAGGAAAATTTTTCAATTTAATTGGAATTCAGTTTCAAGACTAATTTGATCCCACTGAGTCCATTCTTAGTATCAGTTGTGGAAAATTTTCATTTTTTTTTTTTAAGAAATTCTTCTTATAACGATAGTCAAAAAGCAAATTTCAAGTTTGATGTCTCATAGCTCCGGAATGTCAGTACACTTTGATTTTCGGTTTTCACTATTCGATTGCTCGAAGTTTTGCAGTTATTTTTCTTGATTTTTATGTCGAAGTCAATGTTAGTTTGGAATCCACGGACTATAATATCCGTCGGTGCAATGTTTCGTAAGTGTCGATGATTAAAAAATAAAAAAAAATTCAGGGCGGCCTTAATACAACTATAGAGCTTAAATTCTTTTTCAGGACAAGCGAATTATTAAAGACACTAAAATTTCAGAGAACTATGGAGTCAAAGCCTAATTTTCGAAATTTGGGAGATGTCGCAAAATGGTGGAGGAGCCGGGCGACGAATCAAAAATTCAAACAAAATTAGGATCCCCGGAAATATTTTCAGTGCACAGATTCCGTTTCAGAAGGCTTCGAAACTGTGCATTCAGAAATTTTAGTAAACATCGTGTCTCGTTTAAGCGGAATGGTTTCATATTGTATAAATTTGAAATAATTCACAATACGATGGGATCGAAAAAATAAGTCAAAAGGAAGCGTTTTTCAATTAAATTAGATTTAGTTTCTATACTTATTTGACATCCCTGAATTCATTCCTTTTGTCAGTTGTTGAAACCTTTCTTTGATCTATATAAAATTTTTCTTAAAGCAATAGGCAAAAAGCTAATTTCAAGTTTGATGTCGTATACCTCCGGAACGTCAGTAGATTTGGATTTTCGGTTTTCACCATTCGATTTCTCAAAGTTTTGCAGTTATTTCTGTTGGTTTTTATGTCGAAATCAATGTTAATTTGGAATCCACGGGCCATAATATAAACCGGTGCAATTTCTCGGATGTGTTGATGAATAAAAAATTAAAAAAAAAACAGGGAAGCCTGAAGACATCTGTAGAGCTTAGATTCTTTTTCAGGATACCCGAATTATTAAAGAAACGAAAATCTCGTAAAACTGTGAGGTCAAATACGAATTTTCGAAATTTGGAACATGTATCAAAAATGGTCGAGGAGCCGGGCGTTCAAATAAATTTCAAAAAAATTCAGGATCCCCAGAAATATTTTCAGTGCACAGATTCCTTTTCAGATGGTTCGAAGTTGTATATTCAGCAATTTTAGTGAAAATCGTCGTCCGTTTAAGCGGATAGCTTCATCTTACATAATGTCTCATAACTCTGGAACTGTACTAGATTTCCATCGTCAATTTTGATCACTCGATTGATCGAAGTTTTGCGGTCATTTTGGTTAATTTTTATATGGGAACCGATGTTAGTTTGGACACAGACCATCATATAAACCGGTGAAATTTTTCGGAAGTGTCAATTGATAAAAAAATTTAAAAAATTCAGAGCGACCTGAAAACATCTGTAGAGCTTAGATTCTCTTTCAGAAGACTCGAATTATTATTTAAGAAATCAAAATTTCAGTAAACTGTGAGCTCAAATCCAAATTTTCGAAATTTGGAACCTACTGGAAAAATGGTGGAGGAGCCGGGCGACGAATCAAAAATTCAAAAAAAATCAAGACCCCGGAGATATTTTAGTGCACAAATTTCTTTTCAGAAGGCTCAAAACTTTCCAAACAGCAATGTTAGTAAGAATCGGAGCCCATTTAAACGAGATAACTTCATATTGTATAAATTCGAAACATTTCACAAAACAAGGGGTCGAAAAAATGAGTCAAAAAGAAAAATATTTCAGTTTAATTGAAATTCAATTTCTAGATTAATTTGATCCCGCAGAATACATGCCTGGCGTCAGTTGTTGAAAACTGTCATTGTTTCAGACAAAATTCTTCTCAAAGCAATAGTCAAAAAACAAGTTTCAAGTTTGATGTCTTATAACTCCGGAACGTCGGTAGATTTCGATTTACGGTTTTCACCGCTAGATTGGGCAACGTTTTGTAGTCATTTTGGTTGATCTTTATGGTGGAATCGGTTAGTTTGGAATCCACGGGCCATTATATAAGCCGGTGCCATTTTTCGGGAGTGTCGTTCGATAAAAAATTCCAAAAAAATTCAGGGTTCCTGAAGACATTTGTGGTGCTCAGAGTCTTTTTCACGAGGCTCGAATTAATAAAGAAACCGAATTTCAGAGAGCTATGAACTCAAATCTAAATTTTCTAAATTTGGAACCCCGTTCAAAAATGGTGGAGGAGCCGGGCGAGGACTCAAAAATTCAAAAAAACATCAGAGCCTTTTTAAGACATTTTCAATGCACATATTCTTTTTGAGAAAGCTCGAAAGTGTATACACATCAATTTTAAGAACAATTGGGATTCGTTTAAGCGAGATAGCTTCATACTGTATAAATTCGAAATATTTCAGAAGACGATATATTCAAAAACAAAAAAAAAATCAATTTGATCGAAATTCAGTTCCTAGATTAATTTGATACTAGGAATAGATCCCACTGCGTCCATTCCTATTGTCAGTTATCGAAAACTTCAATTTTTTTAAACGAAATTCTTCTTAAAGCAATAACCAAAAGGCATATAATATAAGCCGGTGCAATTTTTCGGAAGTGTCTATAGATAAAAAAATTTAAAAAAATTCATGGCGGCTTGAAGACATCTGTAGAGTTCAGGTTGTTTTTCAGGAGACTTGAGTTATTAAAGAAACCAAAATTTCAGATAGCTGTGAGCTCAAATCCGAATTTTCGAAATTAATGCAAAAAAGGTGAAGGTGAAGAATCAAATATTGAAATAAATTCAACGCCCCTCATGATACAAAAATATGGGTCAAAAAAAAATTTTAAATTACTAAATTCAGTTTCCAGAATAATTTAACACTACTGTTAGTTGTTGAAAACGTTTATTGTTTTAGATGAAATTATTCTTAGATCAATAGTCAAAAAGCAAATTTGAAGTTTGATGTCTCATAACTCCGGAACCGCAGGAGACTCCAACCACCCGATTTCTTCAAGTTTTGCAGTCTTTGTGGTCAATTTTTAGGGCGGGATTGATGTCAATTTGTTAAAAAAGCAAAGAGCTATGGGTTTAAACCCAAATTTTTGAAAATCGGGACATCAAAAATCAATCTAAAATTCAAAAAAAATTCATGACGGTGCGAAGATAATTTTGTGGATGGGTTCAAAATTTGGAAATTATTTGTTTTTATATGTTATAGTTATATTGGTGAAAATTCTGTTAGATAATTTTCAAGTATGTGAGATTTTAAGATCACATAAAGTCCTTAGACCAGGACATTTTCTGATTGTTGTTCTCAAATTTAAGACACAACTAGTATCATATTTCTTATAGTATACGAATTGAATGCGTTCCTTAATACCTAGAAATTGTTCACTATTCCGGCGCCTCCACCATTTATTTACTTTTTTCTTTCCGATTTAAATAAGCACACGAAGTCATTGGGGAGGCACCGGAGAGACAAAACTATGTATGTTTCACATACTTGTCAGTTATAAAAGGAATTTTGAAACTAACTAAAACCCCAATAACGTAATTTTTCCAACAGCTTAAGGCGCACTCCTCTCCCCAACCCCAACTTCCAGTGGCCGTCCGAAAAAATTTAAACTTTTCTAAATCAGCGTCCCCATAAATTTCCTCCTGCCCTCTGGCCCGCCCCGTTCCCACTTCCGCGCCCCTTTTGCGCAATAATTAGACGGGCCGGAAAAAATCGTCCGAGTTGCAAAAATGATGTTAACGCCGCGTTATCTCAGTCAGTTTGTGCTCGGTTGGTAAGTGGATGATTTATGATTGGGTCCTTTTGTTTAAGAGCGTGTTCAACGTGTTGGGGGAAACGCTCGCTCGCCTGCAGCAGGACGAGGAGGCGGAGAGGTGGTACCAAGCTGCTTTGAATGCGCAACCAGACCACGTGCCTGCGCACATTACCTACGGGAAGCTTTTAGCCAAAAATGTAAGTATTATGGCTTTTCACATGCGATAGCGGAATTTGTCAACTGCCAGAGCGAGTTCATTAAAGTAGCATTTAGTAGCGACGTATTGTCGTAAGACAATGGTGTTTTCGAACTGTGGCTTTGTTGCGACTGGAGTATTGAGGGTTATTTAAAATTCTTTTGTTGCCGTTGTGCCTCCATTCGGACGAGGCATGTGAGCAAAAAGTCTAGACAAAGCGTCTACGAACTAAATGCATTTCGAATATTTTGTTCATACACGGGTTTAATTAAAATGGATTTGAAAGAGCGAAAAGAGAGGCCTTTGTTGAGTAAATTAATATGGTGTTTGTAGATGGAAGAGGACGTTACTGGAAATTATACAGATGGAATTATTTGTAGTCTTTTTAATCAACGTTTTATTAAATTTTTCGCGTGCTCACTTTGGTAATTACCCCCTTTTGTAAAATTATCGACAATGTCTTGCTTTGACGTAGATACATACACTTCAAATGCACAAACATGGAACGGAATTGATGAATTTTCAAAGTACTTACAAGGGGATTCATGAGCAATATTGAGCCTAACTGAACTGAAGATGCAAGACAAAATGTATTTTTAGTTTAGAGGTTAATGTGGAAATACGAAAAATTATATACTATCAAAATTGTGGTCTTCCTTGACGGATGGATCAGGAGATTCCGTTAACCCTTGATTTACCAAAAATCCAGATATTGCGTCAAAAATCTATTTTTTTCTATACATATTTTGTAATGTAACAACTTACAACACAATATGGATATTAGTAACGAAAAACACTAAATGCAAAAACACAAAAAGTAAAAAAAAATGGTTAAATTATCACAAAGAGTGGTGCATATTCTTAAAGTATGAGAGTAGTTTGTTTAGTAAGCAAAATTCAAAATGGTCCACCTATTCCTGAATAAAATGTTGTTTTCTTTATCAAGAAATAATGTCAAGAGTTTTCATCATCTAACACAAAAAATTATGTTATTTCTAAAACTCCAACAACACAACAAACATGGCCTGATGGCACATAAAAAACTAAAAAATAATGAGAGAGAGCAGTTTTAGTTAGCTGACTTTCATATTTTTCGTGTTGAAAGCTTTTTACTCAGGAGAATTGGTTTTTAAATACCTAATATGCTTAGATTTCCTAATTAAAATAAGTCTGAAACGAAAATATTTGGTTTTAAATTAATATAAACGTAAAAAAGTAATGAGATACTATTAAATTTAAACAAACAATGAAATACACAGAGTGGCTTTTTCGCTTACTTGTAATTCCGAGTCTATTTATTCTATGTGTATGATTTTAGATTAATTGATTCAGTTTTGTAGCTCTATTTCATAAGGGGCTTATTGCTAATTGTATCCTAGCTAATGACCCCAGATTGTCGTTAACGACAAATACAATAATGTGAGGATTTACTTCATTACGATCACTTCAACTGAATGACGCTTGATTAAATTAGTCCATCACAATAAGCAAATTTTTAAGGTAAAGTAACTATTAATTCTAGAAGACACATCAAATAATTCAAAAACTGAAGTAGTTGCGTTTTTTTTCATTCAACATGCGTAAAAATGGGTTTCAAAAATTTGAACAAAAAGGTTAACATCAAACAGATTTAAATTAAGTTATTTATAAGCAACCAAACACAGAGTGTTCTACTCTAGTTGAAAACAATAAATCTCGATTTTTGATATTTTTTTTAATTCAAACTACATCAAAAACTGTGTTACCTTTAATACACTTTTTAGAAACCACCAGCTAAGTTTTATAACGTCTTGCCCCTTCGTCTCTATTTATGAATGTTTCAAAAATCCATCCAGAATCTGGTGTTTGCGTCTAAATTTGATAGTATGTTAATATCTTCGTTTAGAACTCTTCCAGAATATCAGTTTCAATTTTCTATTGTTTGAAGCTTCGACAATCTTTGTATTCAATCTATACTCAACCTCTTTGACGCTACTGAAATTTTCCAGAATAAATTGCTCTTTAAATGGGAAGTAGAATATTCTTCACGCATACCCAATTTTGTAGAATTTTCAGTTTTAGTCCCCTCTCAATTATAAATAAGTTCATCAGAATTTCTTTTATATGCATTTTCTAGAACTTCATCAAACTTCGTTCATTATTTTTCTAAGAATTTCGGTTGCAGAATTTAAGAAATCCGTTCTGCAGCCGAAATTCTTCTAGTTATTCTTTCCATAAATGCAATTTCTGATGAGTAAAATGGAAATTCTTCCACCTCTTCCTTGGTCGAAATTGAGTTATTCTAGAACCTTTTGTTTAATTGTTCTTCATTTCTTGAAAGCCACAAGTTTACTAATAATATGATTATGTCTATTAAAATCAGTTTGTATATCACATATACAAGCATAACCAACATTTAGGTTAGAGTTCTAAGACAATAGATACAAAAATAGATTTTTGAACTATGTCAGTTATTTCTCCAATTCTTTTTATGTTCTGTACAACGTACTTCCAGGATTTTCTGGAGTTTAGTAGAATTTTCCATTTGCAACCCTTCCACGATTATGTGGTGGAAATAAGTAATTTCACCAAGTTTCTTCTACATTATAATATCATCTAAACTTCATCAAACTTCGTTCGTTCTTTTCTTCATAAAATTCAAACGCATTCTGCAGCCCAAATTCTTCTAGTTTTTCTTTCGAAAAAACTTCTTCTACAATCGTTTCGATCAGTGAAATTTTGGAGTAAACTGGAATTTTTTCTAGCTCTTTCTTCGACTAAATTTAATTATCCTAGAATCTCTTCTTCTTTTAATTTTTCTTCATTTCTGCTAAGCCACAGGCTCAGGAATAACACTAGGTCTATCAAAACCAGTTTGTATATTACGTATACAAGGATATCTAACATATGCAATAGAGTTTTAAGGACAAAAATACAAAAATAGATTTCTGGGTTATGTCAGTTCTTTCTTTTATTTTCTATGTCACGTCAAGCGTACCTATTGCAGCACCTTGTTGTCATCCACTCCCAGAATGTTCTAGGATTCTTTGTAGAATTTTCCAGCGCCTTTCCCGATTATGTGATAGAAGTAAGTTTCTTCTATGCTGCATGTTGTAGAAATTTCATCAAACCTCGTTCGTTATTTTTTTTCTTAAATTTCAAACACTTTCTGCAGCCGAAATTCTTCTGGTTCTTCTTTCGAATAAACTTCTCCTACCATCGTTACCATCAGTGTAATTTTTGGGTAAAATTGAAGCCCTTCTAGCTTTTTCTTGGTCTAAAATAAATGTTTCTAGAACCTCTTTTTCTTTCAATTCTTCTACCTGTTGAAACACGTTGTTGTCAGTCCACTCCCAGAATGTGCTAAAGTTCTTTGTAGAACTGTCCATTTTTAAGCCTTTCCCGGTAAAATGATAGAAGTAAGTTCATCAAGTTTCTTCTACGCTGCATGTTCTAGAAATTTCATCAAACCTCGTTCTTTATTTTTTTTTCTTAAATTTCAAACACTTTCTGCAGCCGAAATTCTTCTGGTTCTTCTTTCGAATAATCTTCTTCTATCATCGTTACCATCAGTGTAATTTCTAGGTAAAATTGAAGTCCTTCTAGCATTTCTTGTTCTAAAATACATTTTTCTAGAACCTCTTTTTCTTTTAATACTCCTTCAATACTTCTACCTGTGGAAACACGTTGTTGTCAGTCCACTCCCAGAATGTGGTATGGTTCTTTGTAGAACTGTCCATTTTTAAGCCTTTCCCGATACTGTGATAGAAGTAAGTTCACCAAGTATCTTCTACGCTGCATGTTCTAGCAATTTCATCAAACCTCGTTGGTTATTTTTCTTCTTAAATTTCAAACACTTTGTGCAGCCGAAATTCTTTTGGTTCTTCTTTCGAATAAACTTCTTCTATCATCGTTACCATCAGTGTAATTTCTGGGTAAAATTGAAGTAATTCTAGCTCTTTCTTGGTCTAAAATCATTTTTTCTAGAGCCTTTTTTTCTTTTAATAGGCCTTCAATTCTTCTACCTGTTGAAACACGTTCTCGTCAGTCCACTCCCAGAACGTGCTAGGGTTCTTTGTAGAACTGTTCATTTTTAAGCCTTTCCCGATACTGTGATAGAAGTAAATTCACCAAGTTTCTTCTACGCCGCATGTTCTAGACATTTCATCAGACCTCGTTCGTTATTTTTCTTCTTAAATTTCAAACACTTTCTGCGGCCGAAATTCTTCTGGTTCTTCTTTGGAATAAACTTCTTCTATCATCGTTACCATCAGTGTAATTTCTGGGTAAAATTGAAGTCCTTCTAGCTCCTTCTTGGTCTAAAATAATTTTTTCTAGAACCTCTTTTACTTTTAATACTCCTTCAATTCTTTTACCTGTTGAAACCCGTTGTTGTCAGTCCACTCCCAGAATGTGCTAGGGTTCTTTATAGAACTGTCCATTTTTAAGCGTTTCCTGATAAAGTGATAGAAGTAGGTTCATCAAGTTTTTTCTACACTGCATGTTCTAGAAATTTCATCAAACCTCGTTATTTATTTTTTTCTTAAATTTCAAACATTTTTTGCAGCCGAAATTCTTCTGGTTCTTCTTTCGAATAAACTTCTTCTATCATCGTTACCATCAGTGTAATTTCTGGGTAAAATTGAAGTACTTCTAGCTCTTTCTTGGTCTAAAATAAATTTTTCTATAACCTCTTTTTCTTTTACTACTCCTTCAATTCTTCTACCTGTTGAAATACGTTGTTGTCAGTCCACTCCCAGAATGTGCTAGGGTTCTTTGTAGAACTGTCCATTTTTAAGCGTTTCCTGATAAAGTGATAGAAGTAAGTTCATCAAGTTTCTTCTACGCTGCATGTTCTAGAGATTTCATCAAACCTCGTTCTTTATTTTTTTTTCTTAAATTTCAAACACTTTCTGCAGCCGAAATTCTTCTGGTTCTTTTTTCGAATAAACTTCTTCTATTATCGTTACCATCAGTGTAATTTCTGGGTAAAATTGAAGTACTTCTAGCTCTTTCTTGGTCTAAAATAAATTTTTAGTACTTTTACTACTCCATCAATTCTTCTACCTGTTGAAATACGTAGTTGTCAGTCCACTCCCAAAATGTGGTAGGGTTCTTTGTAGAACTGTCAATCTTTAAGCGTTTCCCGATAAACTTTGGGGTAAAATGGAACTTCTTGTAGCTCTTTCTTGGTCTAAATAATTTTTTTTAGAATCTCTTCTTCTTTTAATTCTTCTTCATTTCTTCTATGCCACAGGCTCAGTAATATCAATATGTCTATCAAAATCAGATTGTTTATTATGTATGTACAGGAATACATATCATATGCGATAGAATTGTAAGAAAATGGATACAAAAATAGAGTTCCGGCTTATACGTATCAATTATTTCTTGTAATTGTTTGTCACATACAGCGTAACTGTGGAAACACGTTGTTGTCACACACACAATAAAATTATACCTCAAAATAAGTTTTAAAAAATTCTACGAATTTAAATTTTATTTTAATGTTACACAAAAAGTTAATTCTTCAGTTTAATTCTAAAAAACTGTTAGTGTTGTAAACATTAGAATTCCACACGATACTTTTAAAATTGTCATTTTTATTACCATTCAATTCAGTTTTTATAGCATTTCGATGCCCTCAATAGCAGGTGGAATGTTGTAAAAGGAAATGTGAAACTTTTTTCTAGATGTGCTTTGAATAAACTTGTTTTCAAGTGTTATGATTTGAAAGACATTGTCAATTTTGAAAAAGATACCCAATTTTTTTAAGGGTTGAATTTTAGTGGTGTTGGCCTCAATCTACTTATGATATACATTTAATGAAGTAAAGAAAACCCCTCAATCCTCCACACACACACAGGTTAAACACTCTCGTCAATCTGTAAACCCAAAGCCACCATCCCATCTTTTAATAACCGCCGCCACCACTGTATTTTTAATGAATATTAACCCTCCGCGGTGATAAAATTGTGCTCGAAGTAAACTTGTTCCCTAGCCTGCCGTATCTTTGTAATCTTACCTCTTTTATGAGATGGAAATATTAAATATTCATGATAAGGATCCGGGCAAAGATACACAAATAAAACTTAATTGATAATGCGTTTTTGTGCGCGCCCGGAAAAACAAAAAGCTCATCCATTTTTCAGGGAGAGCGCGACGCGCGCGCTAAATTTGAATTTTAATGATGGCAAATATTTGAGATGTTCGCGATATTGCACGCCTGATTTCCGCCGTAATTCCGGAAATTGTCCTCACTGTTTCGGCCGATTTAAATATTCCGAACGTCGAACGATTTAATTACTTAATCATGGGCGGGAGCTTGCGCCCTGTTTCCTACGGCAGGAGAATAACGTGTGTTCTGCTTGCAGGTGAGCCGAACGGCGGAAGCCGAACAGTGGTTTCGCAAGGCCCAGAGGTTGGCCCCCCAGGAGCCCAGCGTCTACCACCATTACGGTTAGTAAATTAAACTGGATCTAATTCAATTCGGCCGGTCGGAGCCAAAACGGCAAAAAAGGCTCGGCCGGAAGCGGCGCTGGAATGCCGGCTGCTTGGGTGCACGGGGGCGAAAAACAGCGGGAATTATTAAATTACTAGGCGAAATTTACAAATGATGTTAGAAATTAAACCCCACATTCGCAACGACTTCCTCCGCAGGACTGCCACTTGCGGAGGATCAATAACAATGTAACTTACTGCAAAACAAATTTTTGCATTTATAGGATTATAGGGCATTCGTGACCTGCGAACTTGTTTGAACTAAAGACCAGAGCGGACTCAGGCTAATGTCGACTCTAAGCGTTCAGAAGCGACTCAATCTAAATATAACAACACATGATGATGATCTGATATTCTAACTGACCGGTTTCTGCCGGAAAGAGTTGCTTGGTCGAATTTTAGAACTAACAAGTGAACATTTTGGTAGATACATGGCATTTTGGTATCAATTGACATGCTTTTATTTACAACTATATACTTACATTATAAGTTTCACTCGATTTTGACATGCAACTATTTTTTTTGTTTTTTTTAAGAAATAATCCTTTAAATATGTATGTTTGGGCTTAGCAAAATTCCTCAAATCATTATCAAACACAATTAAAGAATTATTCCTTAGTTATACAAAAAAAAATTGGTCGAATGTTAATTCGACAGAACTTTCCTCGTGTCTGAAAAATTATAAAATTTGATTTTGCGGAATTTTACTTTTTCGTGATAACCTCAATGGCGTGAAAACAATATAGAAGTTTATAATCACAGTGTAATAGAAAAAAACAAGGTTTCACTTCACCTTCTTAAACAAAAACACATTTGGGGCCCCCAAGAAGGTTTCACATTCTAAAAAAAAGAGAGTTGGGACCCCTGAAAAGATTTCACATGAAAAAGACATTTGGCATCCCCGGGAAGATTTTATGTTTTTAAAAATGACAGCAGGGAACCCCGAGAAGGTTTCCCATTTAAAAAAGATATTTGGGGTTCACGAGAAGGTTTCACATTCAAGAAAAAGGACAGTTGAGGGCCCCGAGAAGGCTTCACACTCTTCAAAAAGACATTTGGCGCCTCCGAGAAGGTTTTACAATTTTAAAAATGACAGTTGGGACCCCGAGAAGGTTTCATATTCTTAAAAAGGACATTTGGCACCCCCGAGAAGGTTTTACATTTTTCAAAAAAAACAGTTGAGACTTCGGAGAAGGTTTCACATTCTTAAAAAAAAAGACATTTGGTACCCTCAAGAAGGTTTCACATTCTAAAAAAGAGACAGTTGGGACCATCGAGAAGGTTTTACATTTTTAAAAATGACAGGTGGAACTCCCGAGAAGGTTTCATATTCTTAGAAAAAGATATTTGGCAGCCTCGAGAAGGTTTTACACTAAAAAAAAAAAATTGGGGCCCTCGAGAAGATTACACATTTTTAAAAAAGACAGTTGGGACCCCGGACAAGGTTTCACATTTAAAAAAAAAGACATTTGGCGCCCACGAGAAGGTTTCACATTATAAAAAAAGGACAGTTGAGACTCCCGAGAAGGTTTCACACTCTTCAAAAAGACATTTGACGCCCCCGAGAAGGTTTTACAATTTTAAAAACGACAGGTGGAACTCCCGAGAAGGTTTCATATTCTTAAAAAAAGACATTTGGCGCCACCGAGAAGGTTTTACATTTTTAAAAAAGAGAGTTTGGACCCAGGAGAAAGTTTGACATTCTTAAAAAAAGAGACATTTGGGGCCCCCAAGAAGGTTTCACATTTTATAAAAGAGACAGTTGGGACTCCCTAGAAGGTTTCATATTCTTAAAGAAACACATTTGGCGCCTTTGAGAAGGTTTTACATTAAAAAAAAAACAGTTGGAAACCCCGAGAAGGTTTCACATTCCAAAAAAGCCTTTGTCGACCTCCAGAAGGCTTCGCCTTCTTTAAAAAAGACAGTTGGGATCCCCGAGAAGGTTTCACATTCTTAAAAAAAGATATTTGGCACCACCGAGAAGGTTTTACGTTTTTAAAAAAGACAGTTGGGACTCCCGAGAAGGGTTCACATTAAAAAGCAAGACATTTGGGGGCCACCAGAAGATTATACATTAAAAAAAAAAACAGTTGGGACCTCGGACAAGGTTTCACATTCTTAAAATAAATGAAATTGTACGGCACCCAAGCAGGTTTCACATTCTAAAAATGAGACAACTGGAACCCCCGAGGTTTTACCTTAAAAAAAAGATATTTGGGCTGCCCGAGAAGGGCTTACATTTTTAAAAATGACAGTTGAAGCCCCGAAGAAGGTTTCATATTAAAAAAGACATTTGGGGCCCCTAACAAGGTTTTACATTTTTAAAAATGACAGTTGGGACTCCCGAGAAGGTTTCATATTCTTAATAAAACAATTGGGATCTCCGAGAAGGTTTTACATTTTTTAAAAAGGCAGTTGGCATCCCAGAGCAGGTTTCACATTCTTAAAAAAAAGACATTTGGGGCCCCCAAAAAGGTTTCACATTCTATAAAAGAGACATTTGGGACTCCCGAGAAGGTTTCATATTCTTAAAAAAACACATTTGGCGCCTTCGAGAAGGTTTTACATTAAAAAAACCAGTTGGAAACCCCGAGAAGGTTTCACATTACAAAAAAACCTTTGTCGACCTACAGAAGGCTTCGCCTTCTTTAAAAAAGACAGTTGGGACCCCCGAGAAGGTTTCACATTCTTAAAAAAGATATTTGGCGCCACCGAGAAGGTTTTACGTTTTTAAAAAAGACAGTTGGGACTCCCGAGAAGGTTTCACATTAAAAAACAAGACATTTGGGGTCCACAAGAAGATTATACATAAAAAAAAACAGTTGGGACCTCGGACGAGGTTCAACATTCTTAAATAAATGACATTTTAGGGCTCCCAATCAGGTTTTACATTCTAAAAATGAGACAACTGGGACCCCCGAGAAGGTTTCACATTAAAAAAAAAGACATTTGTCATTTTTAAAAATGACAGTTGAAAGCCCGAAGAAGGTTTCACATTAAAAAAAAAACATTTGGGGCCCCTAACAAGGTTTTACATTTTTAAAAATGACAGTTGTGACTCCCGAGAAGGTTTCATATTCTTAATAAAACAATTGGGATCTCCGAGAAGGTTTTATATTTTTTAAAAAGGCAGTTGGGATCCCAAAGCAGGTTTCACATTCTTAAAAAAAAAGACATTTGGGAAACCCAAGAAGGTTTCACATTCTATAAAAGAGACAGTTGGGACTCCCGAGAACGTTTCAAATTCTTAAAAAAACACATTTGGCGCCTTCGAGAAGGTTTTACATTAAAAAAACCAGTTGAAATTCCCGAGAAGGTTTCACATTCCAAAAAAGCCTTTGTCGACCTCCAGAAGGTTTCGCCTTCTTTAAAAAAGACAGTTGGAACCCCCGAGAAAGTTTCACATTCTTAAAAAAAAGATATTTGGCGCCACCGAGAAGGTTTTACGTTTTTAAAAAAGACAGTTGGGAGTCCCGAGAAGGGTTCACATTAAAAAACAAGACATTTGGGGGCCACCAGAAGATTATACATTAAAAAAAAAACAGTTGGGACCTCGCACAAGGTTTCAAATTCTTAAATAAATGACATTTTAGTGCTCCCAAGCAGGTTTCACATTCTAAAAATGAGACAACTGGGACCCTCGAGAAGGTTTCACATTAAAAAAGACATTTGGGGCCCCTAACAAGGTTTTACTGTTTTAGAAATGACAGTTGGGACTCCCGAGAAGGTTTCATATTCTTAATAAAACAATTGGGATCTCCGAGAAGGTTTTACATTTTTTAAAAAGGCAGTTGGGACCCCGGAGAAGGTTTCACATTCTTAAAAAAAAAAGACATTTGGGGCCCCCAAGAAGGTTACACATTCTATAAAAGAGACGGTTGGGACTCCCGAGAAGGTTTCATATTCTTAAAAAAACACATTTGGCGCCTTCGAGAAGGTTTTACATTAAAAAAACTAGTTGGAAACCCCGAGAAGGTTTCACATTCCAAAAAAGCCTTTGTCGACCTCCAGAAGGTTTCGCCTTCTTTAAAAAAGACAGTTGGGACCCCCGAGAAGGTTTCACATTCTTAAAAAAAGATATTTGGCACCACCGAGAAGGTTTTCCGTTTTTAAAAAAGACAGTTTGGACTCCCGAGAAGGTTTCACATTAAAAAAAAAGACATTTGGACTGCCCGAGGAGAGCTAACATTTTTAAAAATAACAGTTGAAACCCCGAAGAAGGTTTCACATTAAAAAAGACATTTGGGGCCCCTAACAAGGTTTTACATTTTTCAAAATGACAGTTGGGACTCCCGAGAAGGTTTCATATTCTTAATAAAACAATTGGGATCTCCGAGAAGGTTTCACATTCTATAGAAGAGGCAGTTGGGACTCCCGAGAAGGTTTCACATTAAAAAAAAAAGACATTTGGGGTCCACCAGAAGATTATACATTAAAAAAAACCATCTGGGACCTCGGACAAGGTTTCACATTCTTAAAATAAATGACATTTCGGCTGCCCGAGAAGGTTTTACATTTTTATAAATGACAGTTGGGACTCCGAGAAAATTTCACATTAAAAAAAGACATTTGGAGCCCCCGTGAAAATGATGACTAGGTTAATTAAAGTAAATATCCATCTATTGCTAATTGTTGTTTATTATAAAATATATTTTTTTTATATATTTATCATAGAGAAACATCATAATTAATTACTAAAATAATATTATATAAAAAAAAAATTAAATTACAGTGTGTAATTTACCAACTAAAGTAACAAGTAAATATTTACACATTTAATGGTAGGGCAGTATTTATAACTTATTCGATTTAAGATACAAATTACTGTTCAATCAAAGCGTTATCGCCTTCGGTATCTTTATGCCTATCATTTAATACAGTTATTAGTGGCCTATGGTGAGTAAAATGAGCGATATAAAGATGAGTTCTTAAATGAATAACAAAGCGTGTGAAGACGG